CTGGCTAGCCCACATCATTTGCCCCCCACTCCCAAAGCTAAGGTGAGGTCTTGACTTCGGCTAGTAATGGATATGATAGTCGAGGTAAGGCCTTGGCTTCGGTCATCGGGAGTAGTGACCATTATGCCTTCGGGTTCGTCAACCAAGGGGTATTCTGTAGTGGTGTCGCTTTTACTTCGTATGTGTCTTCCCTCCTCGTCAACTCGGAGATGCATGTGGCATGGATTCCTCAGGTTAGCAGGGATGGTTTGTGCCACGTATGGTCAGGTTATGTCAGGGGTCCACCGTGAAGAGGACGGTCACCCAGTTACTTTCACTAAACTTTCATTAGACCACTTTGCAGAAATCATTAAAAGAAGCTTTAATGGAATTTCTTTAAATATTTTTAATCAAAAGGAAGCAAAATTTGGGGTTTCCAAATTTTTCATGAAACATTGCTTGTATACTGTCTAGCGAGGCCCACCTCTCACAGCCAAAAGTCCTCTCCAATGGGCCTTAAAGTTGGAGTTCTATACTTTTTTTTGAGAATAAACTGTAATGCATTAATCAATCAGACATATCATAAATAAACAAGTCCTTCACAAATGCTAGAGGCTCATGCTAGATACAAGGATTAACGAAACGACAAAAAGCCTTAACTAAGCTGTGGGCCACGGTGTTAACTTAACTTTTTACACAAGCCACCGAGAAGTTTACACTAATTTGTGCTTAAGAATAAAAAAACATTTCATCCTCCTACTTTTCATGGCGGATGATAAGGCCATACACAAAACACTTGCAATGAAAGTTTAATAGATTTGCGCCCAAACAACCAAACGAAAGCCTTTGATGTATTGATATGACCCACCATGATTGTCCGTTTTCAAAAAAAATAAATTCATTTTGAAAAAAAGCAGCAATACCTACTTCATGGAAGGAGTGGCAACACCCACCAACAACTGTGGCCTACAAGATACACCTCAATTTGTAAATTCAGCTTCCTTGTGCAACAAAAAGGGGGGAAGGAGCTAGACCTTATTTATTTATTTATTTTTAACTCCAAACTTTATTCTAGATGGAGGGGGCGATCATCTTAAATTTTATTAACCATTTTTAAAAGGATAATTTATAATAATAGGGGAGGACTTAGTTCGCCTTGCCCCATTACCCAAGTATACATATTTCTCCCTCACCATCTCAGGCCCACCCAAAAATAAAAGAAAAAAAGACCTAACAAAACCTAAATAATTCTAAGGATAGGCAAACCCAAATTATCCTCGTGAATAAGACGAGTCAAATCTCTAGAAATTTGGGAATTAGCATTGATCACTTTAAGTGTGTATTTTTCATCAATTCCTTTCTTAGGTAGGAGATCAGCACAACGATTTCCTTCTCATAAGATATGGGTCTATCTAATATCCATTCTCTGCACCAAGTTTCTAATCCTGCGCAAGATATAAACAAAATTCCATGAATAATCTAATCTACCCATTAGAATGTTAATAATTATCATGTTATTACTTTCAACCTCAATCTCTTTATAGCCTCTTTACAAACAAAGGATTAGACCATCATACAAAGCTAAAATTTCTGCTTGAATAGAGGTAGACTGACCATAGTAACAGTGAGAGTTCCAAAAGAATTTCTAAGTAAGCCCCCTCCTTCACCAAGATTGCCGTGACATGCCCCACCCACATTCATCTTGTAAGCAAAATTAGTTGAAAATTTTGATGCTCATTCATGATCCTTTGTCTGAGATAGTGATGACAAGACCATGTTGACATCTTTTGTACGCCTTATACAACCTTGCATTAGGAATATCTTGTTTTTTTTATGAGGAAACATTCTCAATGCAATGCTGAAAGGGATTATGCGACTGGCGTGAGCACGGTTTTGTGAAGATTAAATCCAATTTCCTTTTTATCTATCCAACCATGTATTTGTTTATTGGAATGGTTCCAACTTTAAAATCTGATTTTCTTTCAGGTGGTCGTACGACTTATTAGCGAAAACAAATCTAGGAGACTATGACAGTGTCAACATACAGCTTGACTTGGATGAAAACCAAAAAGCTTGGGAAAAACTCATTCCAGTTCGCATTAAATCAGGACTATTAATATGAAGGACCTAGCGGTAGTTCAATTACGAAATCCATATACAAGGGCTTAGAATGGAGAGAAGAATTACTGTAGTTCAGTTAATAGAAGATATGCTAAATCTGGGCTCAAAATATTCAGAAACAATGTGTCAACAACTCCAATTCTTTATTTGCAGCAGAAGACTTTCGGTCTTTCCCGTCTAAGTGATGTTCAAAAAATTTTAGAAACAAATTCACGTCTCTTCCAGATGAAGATCTTCTTTTTACTACCTTTCTGTGAAGGTTCAAAAAATGCGATAACCACACGTATCTTCAAAAACTTTTTAATCTGAGAGGGAAAAAGGAAGCAAACCAAGATTTACAGGAAGGTTCAATAATCCAACCCAGCAAGATAATGCGTAGATGGATTACAATGACGTTGCAACCATGGACAATTACAGAGGTCGTTATCCCATAATTTTATATTGCAGTTTTGCTTTTAGGTTTCTCTAAGATCCTCCATTATTGGTTCACCTTTTGAAATGCTGGATTAGAAATAAATGCGCATTTCTAACCACTCTATTTCAGCCTGGTTTTTTCTTGAACCAGTACTCCAGTTTAAACACACAGAGCTACCCAATTGTCCCAGCTTCATTCTCTTCCAGAAACTGTCCTTTTTGGACCATTTCAATCTCATCTTCCTATAAACAAAGATGCTTTTGTTGAAATTCTCAAATTTGGCCAAGCCCATCTTGATTCAAGTCACAAACCAGTCTCTTTTGTTGTCAATCGGAAGTTCAACCACTCCCCTTCTAGTAGGATTGCAAACGGATCGGATCGAATTAGATATAATATAGGTGTATTCGAATTTGATTTATTTAAGTTTGAATTCAAGTAGGTTTATATTTATTGAATATCTAATGGATTTAAATCAAATTTAGATTATAATTGGATATTAAATAGTATAAATAAATTAGATTAAAAATAATCAAAATATTATATTATTATTATTAAAATGAGTTAAAAATAACTTAATATTATATTTTATAAACAAAATTGGAAATTACTTGGAGCTATAACAATTTAGTAAAAATACAATATTCAATAATATTCAATGATAATATAATATAATTTGTAAGTATATATGAGCATATTTAGATTGAATCGAATTGGATAGGGGTAAATCCATATTGATCTAATTTTAAATGATTCGAATTTTAAATCAACCATTTGCAGCCCTACTTTCTATTATTTTCAATCTTATACATGAACATCATGGCAGTCAGCTAGTCATAACATGCCATGTCAGCCTGATATGCCAAATCCAGAGGCTGTTGGCCCCCAACAGCTAAAGTTTTTCCAACCCAGAGCGTTATAGAGTTTAAGTCGTGTTTGAGTGTGCTTTGCTTGTTAATGGGGTTTCTTTGTTTTTTCTTTTTTTACCCGTTTGAGAAGGTTTTCACGCAGGGCTTTTGATGTTGTAGGAGCCAAAAATCCTGGAAAGTCATAAGTCATCTTCCAAAGCTGAAAATAAACTTAATGAGCCCAAAGATCGATTTTTTAGTAAAATTATCATTGGTAACTTCTTGGAATCGGCTCTGTCAATGCATATCAATCACCACAGAAGCCCTCCAAAACGGGCTCTGTGTTTTTTTGAGTTTAAGAAGCCAAAAGCAGAAAATACCATTTGGATTAGCAGTTGGTAAAAGCGCTTTTTGGGCCAAAAAGCAAAATAACAAAACGCACCTGAAAACTCTATTTTCCTTTTAATTAATGTTTACAAGAAGCTCCTCTTAGAAAAAGAAATCAATAACCAACCTAACACTGAAATAATAATTTTTCAAAAAATAATTTTTTACAAGCCCTGCCGTTTAAGCCGAAAAGCACTTCCAAAAGCGCTTTTTCTCCTTCAAAGAAGATTGAACCGTCCATCTGAGCACCTTCCTGATCGCTACTTAACCAGATTTGTATTAAGGCTTGAAATATCTTTTTTTCCAAGCTGACATCCAATTTGCTTACGTGTCCATCAGTGGACGCTTCATGGAATGAGCAAAATGAAGTCCAGGTCATGGAGCGGACATGGTCTATTATATTTGGCCTACTATTACGAGTAGATCTGTAGACGATTATAACCTCCTCTAGTGTTGAGTCCGGTGAGAAGGGTAGACGGGGACTCGGTGCGGGTGATTTGGCAATTCCCCTGTTGACGTAACTCCCACCAAATAGACAGCGCGTGCAAATGTAGCGACTGTCATTAGCATCTCTCTACAGCTACTGGATCTGCTCCTTACACAGGGCGCCTCACACGCACATCGTACCATACATTGTGAATATCTCACGTACTTAAAATTATTATTCACGGGACATGTTCCCAATACACGATAGGTGTGCATGTGAGGAGCAGATCCCGTTCCCTCTCTACATTGTAGTGGTGCATGGCGCTGCATGAGGATTGCTATGCACATGCGTCTCATGTGGGCCCACTACATTCCCTAGCTAGTGGACTAAAAGAGGATCACCTCCGTGGCTCCGTCCAATATCAACATGGTAGAGAGCATACGGAGAAAACCAAGTCAAATAATCACGTAAATAGGACGGTTAGGATTCTTCTAATTAATAGTAGAGTTTTGGTCGTATATCACCAGATTATTTCTTACCATCTCTGCACTGCACTCTTCACGTACGCGTCTATGCTGACGAGCTGACGAACTGACGAGCTCACACCACAACTCAATTTTCAATTTTGAGGCATCAGCAGCTCTCCACCGACAGCTCAGTGGTTTACTTTAAACAAAAACAACGGGGCTAACAAGGCCATTTCACACATTTCACTTATTACTTAAGCGTGGATGGCCTACATCACCATCTACCCGTCTGACCTGGCCAAGGGCCCCATCCCTCCCTCCCCCTCTCAATGCGACAAGTTCAACGCACCAAGAAACCGGTTCTGTTCCTCCCTGGCCCAAGAATTAATGCTCGAAAAGAACCGAGTCTATTCAACACAGTTTCTGGGCTTATTTAATCCATGCTTCCCATTGACTTTCGTCTGTTCATGTCAGCTCTTCTTATATTCCTTGCTCCGGAATAGCCAGAGGCATGTCTCATTTGTCTCTCCCACACCACCACCTCGCTTCTCCCCCAAATCGCTCCTTCATTAATTCTTCAACCATGAACTTCTCTGACCAGCCCACCGGAAAGCCGTCTCCCAGGAGAGAGCTCCAGGGACCCCGGCCGACGCCGCTCAAAGTCCATAAAGATTCTTACAAGATCAAGAAACCGCCGGTGGCGCCACAACCGTCTCAGCCACAGCAACCGCCGCCCCAACGCCGTGCCCCCGTCATAATTTACACTGTCTCCCCTAAGGTAATTCACGCCAACGCTAGCGAGTTCATGGCATTGGTGCAACGTCTCACGGGCCCGTCTTCATCAACATCGTCTGATGCTTCTGGCGACGCTGCTGCTTCCTCTTCATTGCCGTCATCGTCTTATGCTGATCATAGCGGTGCAATTTCTCCGGCAGCCCGGTTCGCCTCCATCGAAAAGACTAATACCTCCGCTGAGAAGTTGAGAAAAGCTGATTTGGGCATGGTACATGGGGTAGAAATGGGTGCAAACGTAGAGAGAACGAGTTCAATTCCGGGGATCTTATCGCCTCTTCCGTGCTCCCTCCCGCCCATCTCTCCGAACTTCTTCTCGTCTCTGCCTGATCCGACATCATTAGGCTTCCTTCAAGACCTGAAAGACCTAAGCCCCATCTTCCAGGGTAACAAGAATTACATAGAAGGTCTCTTCACGCCTAGCCCCTCAGCCTTCCTCTCACCTCCTAATGTGTCTCCTTCTCAATCTCTGGACCTCTTCAAACAATTATCAGACTTATAAGAAAGATAAAGAGATTCAGGAAGAAGAGAGATGTCTTCAGGGTAATATCCATGAAAGACAGAAGTTGGAGGTACTTTTTCCCTGTAACTTTTTTTTTTTTCTTTCTTTTGGAGGTCTACTAGTTTAACAGTCTTTACCCTTTAATGGGCTCTTAGTTGTGTGGGCTAATCGAGAAATAACCCGGCCCACATACCCATCATCTAGTCAGGTTATCTTTCTTCATTACGCCCCATTTGTCATCAAAACATGTGGATTGTAGCTTGGAGTATGACTCTTTCAATTATTTATTTATTATTATTCTTTTGTTTATTATATCCATCTTTTCTCAGATCTTTTACTGGGTCATCATCTGTAGAGTGTAGATACATCATTGATGTTATTTGTTTCGTGATTCTGAGCCCAGCTGAAAAGGTAGAGATCCGGTCAGTGGAAAGGATGTTTGGATCTGGTCGGACCCTAGGCTGACCCTACATCGACCCAATAATTTGGGTGGACCCCAACATTTGATTAAGGACAAAATACTGCTTAATCATAAGAAATCCAGGGTTTAATTAGATTAAACTGACTGATTTGACTTGTCAAAACCGGATGGTTTAAAGGTTTAATTAATCTGGTTAGAACTTAGAACTACTGGTCTAGGGCATCCAGAACCGGTTTAATCCGAACTCTAAAACATTGTCAATTGAGCTAATCGTTCCAGCCTCATTCATTCAAACTGCCTCTTGGAAACAATGGATAGCCTCTAGATCTAAGACAGTGGAGGTTCATCTATCTCGAGAATTGAAAACTAGTTAACCAATTAAGTCAGTATTTTTATCATTATTTATTCCTTTTGATGGTGAAACTTACATGGGAGTTGTTTATATTGGACCACGTCCAGCAAGGAAGAAAGAGATAGAGATTAAGCTTAATTATATATTTTAATTTGATGAACAGAAGGCCACAAAATACAAAATAAAATATGGTTTAAGAGTTGGATAGTGTAGGCACGACACGGCCTGACCATGTTGGATTGAAGTAGATGTCTTGGATCGATTAGACTAAACAAAATTTGTTGGTTTCGTGCAAGATATAACTGTTTGGACTTCAATAAATAGGAAAACAAAGTCTACACTACATTTTGGTCTGAGAAAAAGCCGTGCCCATATAAGGGTGCAATAGAAGCAACCTTAGAAAAAGTAAACAAGGATGTTTGCAACTGCTTCCATCATATCTATTTTGATTTATCAAATGTTTGTTTCATCATTTATAAACTTTAATTAATCTTTTCATTTTTTTTTTAATTTTTGAGGTTTCTTTTATATATGCATTGAACTACCTCTCCGGGGTATATATATTTCTTCTCAATTATGTCTTTAACCTTTTGAAACCTTGTTGAGGTTATTATTGGATTAGTTCAATAAAAGCATCAATTGTTATTTTTGAAAATAAGCTTTTTTTTTATTCTGTTAGAAAAAAAAAAGTGGGGTACATAGAAGGAGGGGTAGCCTTCCTCAACAATCACTAACCAAAATGATATAATTGAAAGCTCAACCCATCCGAACCCTAGCTAAGATACAGGACTCATGGCTCAAACTAGACAACCAATTAGCACTTGCAGTCATGCAAAGGGAAAATCTCCCCATGAATGAAAATATAAAGTACAGAAATATTTCATTCATGGGGTGAGGTTCTCAATTCACGGCTGCAATGTGCTGTGAGGAGGAGTCTATAGGAGGAAATCCGAATTCAATCAGAACAGCAGTACCATTCTGCCTCTCTAAATGTGAGAGTAGCAAACTTTCAACTCATCAAGTACATACACTGGAATTCTTCAATGAGAGTCTTGACACACTCCAAGGAGAACTGTGAACACCTTTCAGACAGTCAAAAAAAAGCTTCAACTCTCCTTCTATAATTAATGATGTAATTTTATTTCTATTTGTTATTGCTATATGGTTTAGATAAGATACTGTTTTCTAGACAATAATGATGGCTGTTGTGCCCATCACTACATTCTGTAGAATTGAAACCATGTGGAGGTTCCAACATGATCTATGCATGGCTGAGCATCTTAAACATGATTGTGGCCTGGAAAGTACAATCCCATTAATGACAACATAAAGATATGAAATGTGTTTGAGATATGTGGCTATATATTATGTTGTTGAAAACTGCATTGATAATACTATGGGTGGCAAATTCCGGTTATTCAATACTCTCTATTGTTTTCATTCTTTCTTTCTTTCTTTTTCAACAAATTAAATAGGTCAGGTATACCTATCCTCCAAACTCACAACCTTCCCAACCTGGATGAGGCAGGAATAGATCCCGAAGTCTCCACTATATATAACCATCTAGATACCTTACTAACTAAGCCATTTGATACTTTCCAACACTCTTCATTGTTGCTTGCAGGAATATTGCATTCTTTGCAGCTGCTAGTTGTTAACATATTCTAAGCAAAATGAAAGCTATGAGAAGCAAGCAAGTGCATAAGTACAGAAAACAACCAACTAATGGGTACGTGGTGGTTAAATTGGTATATATATTTGTTGGCTCATTTCAATAGGACGAGATCTAATAAGCACAATATAAGTAAGCACTTAAATGAGCACTTAATAAGTATTTTGACAACTGTCAAACGTAAGTTTTAATCTTTCTTAAAGTGGATTTTGGGTATTTTAAGAAACAGGTGTTAAAAAAAATTTCAAATGCTCATTAAATATATTTACAACATTTTATCTACGGATCCGAATTGCATTTCAGCGTAGACAAGGATTCGAACTAATCCTACTGCCACCAACTTGGGGTTGGGAGGGGGGTATGGGTGTAGTGATGTGCTGCTACTCAACAGCCCCTACAGGGGATATAGACGCATCACCAAATATCAAGAAATAAATAAATAAAGGACATCTACTTCTATAGAGAAGTGATAAATTGCAACATCTAGGTCACAAGGTACTTACAACTGAACAGGAGAGAAAGAGATAACCCAAAAAGTTGTATCATTCAGCCAGGATGACCTACAAGCCTATCCTCTATTACATCCACCCTGGTGGCCCACCCAACTAAGCTAGTTCCTTATCATTTTTGGAGAGGTTTGCAAACATTTGAGTTCTCCAATATGGGTTGACCATATTACCCAGGAACCCATAAGATCCGAGTACACTTGAGTGACATTTGATTTTGATTTGAATTAATTTCCTTTCTTAAGAATCTTATCTGTAAACTTTGGCTACGTATTTCTTAGTTTAACTTTAGTAAGTGTCATAGTCAGTTTAGTAAATAAATCTTTCTTTCAAGTTAAGTAATGTCTAATTTATTTTGGAAATACAGTTGTCGAGGTTACTTTAATTGGTCTAGAAAACCTTGCCTTGAGAGTCGACCACCAGAACATGTCAGCGAGTATCTCGTCTTTTGTTATTTGTCTCTATTCTATCTCGTTTTGGAGGAAAGCCCAAGAATGTAGGAGCCCATAATTGTGACTAGTCAAACTTAATCAGAACATTTTTTTTTCTTTTCAAACTTAGTTAGAGCATTTGAATCAGTCATTTAAATGTCTAAACAACCTTAAAGAGATTCCCTTGTTTTCATTTTTATCAATTCTTATAATTAAGTCCCAACAACCCATATCCTAATTTCCTTTTTCAATTACTTGCATAATGTAAAACACTAACTGCATGCCCTAACAATTTCTTAATCTCAATTCTCTAATTCTTCTCTCTTATACTATGCAAATTCATTTGGTTAAATTTAGATTTGGACATCATCAGTTTGGTTTTATGTCAAGGTCCTTGTTTAGGGTTGGTCTTGGGGGTTGGCCCTTAATTCCTCCAATCCATTTCATTTGTTCCCATTTTTTATTAAAGATAGTCAAAGGGGAGGGGAGATATTATAAGGATGGACCATTGGATATATATATAGAGAGAGAGAGATAGATAGATAGATAGATAGATAAATAGATAGATAGATAGATAGATAGATAGATAGATAGATAGATAGATAGATAGATAGATAGATAGAGAGAGAGAGAGAGAGAGAGAGATTTAAGAATGAGAATTATAAGATTGTAAGTTAAAATTTATGAGACTTTTATAATGGGAGTATAAGATGCCTAATTTAAAAGCTTTTTTTCCTTTTAATAAACTCTATATTTTTAACTTTCATATGTTTGAAGGAGAGGAGAGATTCCATGTGAGGCCTGTGGTGAGAGACCCTTGGCCATCATATAGTTTTCCCCAATATGTATATAGATGTGGGTTAACACTTGCAATTCTTTTTTTTTTTTTCTACCTTTTCTTTCTTTATTGAAAGAACATTTCTGATCAAATCACCTTAGACCAACCACAATAACTTCTTTTTATCGTACACTGTCCATTACCTTTTCATCACCTTAGACTAATCACACACCAGATAGATATATAAGATAATAAGGCTCTATTTATTTTCTGTGTAAATTTTATTTACAGTGTTGCAAATGCATGAGTATAAATATTCTGAAATGTAAATTTCGGTTTACATTTGGTTTACATCTGACTTTGTTTCTTTGCTTGTGAGAAGTGAAATGATGTGATCCCCACCTCATATAAACGAGAATGAAGTTAAGATTAGGGGTTAGGAGTGAGGTACCAGTACCAAGCAAGGTGATGCGGTCTACTTTCATATAAGAGAAAATTGAGGTGGGAATAAGGTGGTGCAAATTTTGCATCAGTTGTTGATATACAACACTCACTACAAGAAAATTGGTTTTGGTGATAGACGTATAATGGTATCCATCACTATAAATCATTTATAGTGACAAACTAAAATTTCCATTGCTATAAATCTAGCATTTAGTGATAGAAAATTGATGAAAGGATTTTCTATTGCTATAAATAGTTGAAATTCCGTCACAAAATCTTGATTTATAGTGACATACAACTAAATATTTGTCACAAAATCATAAAATGTTGATATATAAAGATGGATGTATGACGTCAATCACAAAAGTTTGTTTTATAATCATAGACAATTGAATTTTCATCACAAAAAAAAAAAAAGATTTATGATAAACAATTGAATGTCTATCACAAAATCTCAAAATTGTGATATATAGTAGTAAACAATTAGTGACTGTCACAAAAACTTCATTTATAGTAATGGACAGTTGAATTTTTTTCACGAATATTGATTTATATATGGTGACAGATAATTAAATGCTTGTCATAGAATTAAAATCACAAGATCTTCATTTAGGGGCATTTTTGTAATTATTATGTAAAGGTTATTTAAGTTTAAAA